GGCATGGAGACTACTTAAAAAAAAAAAAAAAAAGAAGAAGTACAAGGACAAGGTGAATAGGCATGCATCAGTCAGCATAGAACGTTGATTTCATCTTGATGTAATGTCCCTTGGTTTCTGTGTGTTGCACTGGCTGACAGATCTGTTGTGTTTCCACGATGGGCATGGTGCTGTGGTGGGAGCAATAATGATGATGTGGTAAAACAGTTCCCAATCAATGCATGCTTCATCAGTGAACAATGAACTTCATGAAGACTTTTATCAGCAAAAAAACCCATCAATCAGCAAAGAACCAAACATTTTACTTACATTACATCATTTAATGCTTATAGTACCCTTATGGGGTACACATTGCCATCCCCATTTTCAGATAAGGCAAGTGAGGCTCAGAGAGGTGGTATCGCTGTCCAGAGTTACATGGGTAACAAGGCCTGAACCCCAGCCTGTTAGAGTCAGAAGCCTGTGTTGCCACACTGTGCCAGCTGCCTCTCTATTTGCAGCTGAAGCACCAGGAGCCTGAAGGAACCCTACAGGGCCCCGAGGGCCTCTGGGGCAGGGCCCCCCGGGGTGAGAGGGACTCCCTTTAATGAAGGCAATCGAGAAACAATCCTCCTCTTTATTTGCCTGTAACAGGGGCTCAGAAAAGCTAATTATCTTCCTGTGAACCAGTTAACTATTCAATTTTCTCCATTTGGGTAATTAATTATCAGAGTCAAGTGCAGGATCCAACTAATTTTAGAAAGACGCAGCTGTAGGGTCATCTGGGGGACACACTCAGCTGAGGAAGGAGGAAGCACAGGCAAGAGGCTCTCTCCGCTGTGGCTCAGAGGGAGACAGGGAGAGGGGCCTCAAGCTGGCTGGAGTGGAGGGCATGGGGAAGTGTGCCTAAGGCAGGCTGGCTGGGATTCCCTCAGCACCAAAGAGCAGCAGAATCAGGGGCATGGGCCCAGGAGGGCAAAGCAGCTGACGGAGCTGCCAACATCACCTCATGGAAGAAACGGGGGCACTTCTTCCAACCCCCAGATGCTCTGGGTCCTCTCTCCCTTTGAGGGACCCATGGGATCTGTCACCCCCTCAGTCCTCACATTCTCACTTGGATCCAGCTTATAAAGATGTTAAGCCACATAGTGAGAGAAATCTTAGTTCCCGTCTCTGGCTATCAACTCATATTAACATTGCTAACATTGATCAGGAGCCAGGCATAGCTCATACCAGGGTGGTTAGGTACAATGACTTTCCTGTACTACAGATGAGAAAACAGAGGCTCAGCAGTTTGTTCAGGATCTCATGGTTAGCATATGGCAGAAGCTGGGATTTGAGCTCAACTCCCAAATCCATGCCCTCACCTTCTCTTAAAGTGACATGCCATATGTGCAATTTACTGAGCAGCACCATGGTGAAGAACTGGAGTATTTGGGACAGCAAGGGTTGGAGGAGCACTTGGTTCACTAAACTAAGTCAACTGGTCAAGGATATTCAAACCTTCAGCAAGCTCCTCAAGGGAAGGGACATTCCAGTTGCAAAAGCAGCAGGTCTAGAATTCTTGCCACTATGTGCCACCATGTGCTCGG